AAATACCCAATAAAATTATATTGTCCTTCCATATTACTTTTCTTTTTACCTCAAATCTCAATTTATTATATCTTTTTTGAGTCTCTCTTTAATCTCTTCTCTTGCTTTGTGTGCTACATGGAGAGCGAGAGAGTTTGCAACTCGAGCTGCTGCACATCTGTACAAAGTCCTACGTTGAAACCAGTCAGTCAGACTTGCTGTGTGGTTCGTAGTTGGCGGTAAGGTAAGCTAAGGCTGTATGTTGCCGGCATCAATCAGTCGTCTCCCTGGCTTCATGGTCACACAACACTAATGCTGTATGTGCAACTGGGGGAATAGTCACTGTCTACTCAGGGATTGACTTGCTACCAGGGAATAATCTCGTCGACTTAGAATATGCGGACGATAATAATAATAATAGTCCTTCTAGGCGAGGACGCTGACAAAACCCAGCAGAGTCTACTGAACACCTTGAGCAACAATCTGCGTATGTTTGGCATGCGATTCGCTCCTGTAAAATGTAAGATGATGCTGCAGGATTGGACTTCACCGACCCCTAGATTAGAAATAGGAAGTCAAGTGATAGAGCACACTGACCACTTCACTTACTTGGGAAGTACCATCAACCCCAACGGGTTGATCTGTGACAAAATCTCAGCACGAATACAGAGGGCTAGTTTCGCATATGCCAGTTTACGCCGTCTCTGGCTTAGTAGACGTGATATCCGACTATCTACCGAAGGTCGTGTATACTGCTCATCAGTCCGCTCCGTCCTCCTTTATGGCTGGCTGTGAGACGTGGCCATTAAGAGTGGAAGACATGAAAAGATTAACTGTCTTTGATCATAGGTGTCTGCGTTCTATCTCCCGTGTGTGTGTGAAGTGGTATAATAAGGTCAGCGATATTGAGGTTAGGCGTCGAGTGCTAGGTAATGTGGGGAAATCGGTCGACGAAATTGTGAAATTACATCGACTGAGATGGTTAGGATATGTGTTACGTATGCTTCCCTAGTCATCGCCTTCATCGACAATGGGCAATGTTAGCTGACATAGGGTCAGGCTGGAAAAGAGCTAGCGGCGGTCAAACGAAAACATGGCACCAGTCAATGAAATCCACAACAGTTAGCTTAAGCCACGTAGGAAGGTGTAGACTTCCTGACTGGTTGGGGTCCTCGGGACAGTAAAAACCAATGAAGGCTGGAAACAATTGGTGACATGGCTAGCTCAAAGTGATCGTTCTCAATGGCTGGCCGGTGCAGATGCATCCACTCCTTGTGACTGACTTATGATTTCCAATGAAACTGTTTTGTTCTCCGTTATTACTACTCCTTTGTTTCACACCTCTGTTTACTGTCTCTAATATGCATTTCTTCTACTTTCTTTCCTGGCTTTGTGTGGTACATGGAGGGAGTGTGGTGACTTGAAGTGCTGCACATATGTGCAAAGTTCTATTTCGAAAACCGAGCGACCGTCTACTCACTTCCATAAACGCTGAAAAGCTTTCCAATAAACGTTACTTTTCCCCTCACAATTCTTGTACACTACAGTCGAGTATCTAGGTAATAAATAAATCCTTTTGTAATTATTCGTGAATATTCCCCACTCAGAGAATAATGAAAATAAAACACGTAGTTCAGCGAGGAAGCCTTTAGCTAGCTGTACAATCGCATTTATATGCATTTTTTCCTTCACGAAAGAGGGTAATAACTAACAAAAGTGATAAGTTGTCACAAACAAAGTACGCAATATTAGTCAATGCATAGAAAAGGGGTTGAATAATTGTTTTCGAGTTATGCAAGAAGATGAATAGTTTACAAGGACGAGTTGTAATCACGATGCACATAGAAATGAGGGAAAATATGGAGCTATGTAAGAAATCTGAAGAAATACAAGTTATGAGGGGTTATAAAACCACAGCGGTGGCCAAACAAAAACACGGCCTCATCAATCCATGAAATCCTTAACAGTTAAACTGAGTCAGATAAGGAGGGAGATGCAGACTTCCGGGTTGGGGCCCGGCCCGCCCTCGGGACTCTAAGAATCAATCACTGGCTGGATACAATAGGTGACATGGCTCAAAATCGTTGTCAATGGCTTACGCAGATGTATGCAGTAGTCTCTGTAATCTTTCATATTGCTTTCTACCACCATTATTCATTCTGTTTCACTCTTATACTTGTCAAAACTCTATTGATTCTCTTCACTGATCTTCTTGTCAACCTTTGTGTGGTATTTGGAACGTGGCAACTGGAACTGCTGCAGTTTGGTGCCAAGTTCTATGTTGAATCCAGACAGCCAGCCAGAAAAACAAACAAAGTCAAGTCAGTAGAAATCAACACGGTTGTTACCATGGTAGTAGATAGAAGTGGTTGAGTAAATTTCTTTTGTATGCATAACTGTGGTTTTTCTAACTGAATGGCTAAGGCGTCAGACGAAAGCGTATCATCTTTGTCAGACTATTCTTCCCTTTGTAGATTACTTTGAAGGGGGCGTGTGTTGACAGTAAATGACTAGTATTGACAAGGTGTTCAATTATCGCAGTCCATACAGAGCTACTACTACTACTACTAGTATTCTTAAACCCTTTTAGACAGGATACACCTCTCAAACGATTCACATACATGGCTGTGTAACGCACATAAAAGTGGTCAAATGCGAGACCTTGTCCACAAGGCTTTAGCAGGCCTATGGACGATTGGAGAACACTACTTTTAGCGTTGCTACGATGAATGTTCTTCTCAAAGATATTGAAATCCTTCTCTTAAGAGTATCTCAGGCTAATTCTCCTTTGAAATCTAAGCTCATGTAAAGTTTCTGCTTTTCGGAACAAATAATTTTTTTAATTTCTTCTAGACTTTTGACTTGATATTCTTTTCGATGAACCTTGGTGAGTATCTTTCTTGGATGAAGGTTTCTTTCAGAAGATCTTTGTTAGTTCTCCCGACCGAAAGCTGCTACCTTGAGGTGGTGGTCGGGCTTGAACACTGCAATGACCCAAAAAGCTATACTGGCTGAGACTTATGTCGCTTGAGGTCCTACAATGCCAGAAAGGTTGTTTGAATAGCGGTTAGACAAAAAGCAGTTATCCAATCCAATGCTATGACCCAAACAAAATCACCAAATATCATGCCGGATCAGTCGGGGCCCGGATTAACAACGACCGCGCTTCATGCTACCGTGTCACAGGGCAGAAGTGATAAATATGCTACTGAGACACATCAAATAAAAAAGAACAAACAAAAACAGGCCGGATGTGACCGGCCTCAAGCAATTATCCCCTGGGCTCTGTGGTCACGCAACCAACTTCCACGGTGTGGGCAGCTGGGAAGTAACAATCGCCCTCACAATCCAATCCAGACAGTTAGTTCTACTTCCAGGGCATCAAGACTGAAGATACGTCGAACCCTAATGGCAACGGATTTAATTAGATTTCGCTCAACAGGCATCCAACTGTGAAAACTTGTTAGTTGACCGTTCTAAGTGAATTTTTCTATGGACACTAACCTTATTATTATTATTATTGTTGTTTCCTTTAATCCCTAGAGGAACATAGGGCTTCAGCCGTGCGTCTCCGTTGCATTCGGTTCTCTGCTACAGTCTTCACCTGGCTACAAGTCTGCCAACACACACGCTTTCATCTCCTCTTCACATGACCTCCTACAAGTCACCCTCACCCTTGCACTGACGACCAACTCGCCGCCGCTTCCCTTTCGGCCGGGTTCCACTCGAGCAATGGCTTGTCTAGTGATGTCACTCACTTGATGGTTTGTTTCCTCAGAGTATGGCCAGCCAATCCACCTACCTCCATTTCTTCCTGCCTATTTCTTTCACAATCGGTTGAATCCTGCTGTGTTGGTTTGCTCATTGCCAGAGATCCCTCTCTGTTGCTGATGTTTTCTGGCTGGCCATATGATCTTGAGTATTGAGCGAAGACAGCTAGCTGTTAATAAAGGTGTGTAGCTTGTTTGGGATGCTGTTTATGACGCACAGTGCAAGTCTCTGATCCATCCGTATAGTAAGTGGCACTGACTGACTTCACATTGAAGTTGAAAATCCGGATCTTATCTTCGTTTTTATGCTGAGTGCTGGGTGTTGACCTCCACACAGACTTGACGTGAGTAGTGAAAGCTCGTCTTGCTTTTCCGATCCTCACTGCTTTGATATCCTCGTCAGTTCCGCCGGTCTGCAGTTGAAACGATGCTTCCCAGGTAGGTAGGTAAAGGAGGTTGTTTATTTCAGGTTCCTCCCATTTATGCTGATTGTTGTCTATTATTGCTGTTGGTGTTGACCAGGAATCTTCATCACCACATCTGTTTTCTCTATGTTCACCTGAAGTCCTATCTTCTCCGGATGCTTCTTCTGCCAACTTGTTGCTTTTCATCACTTGCATATCTTCCAGTTTGTGGGAAATCAGACATATATCATGGGCGAAGTCCAGATCCTCCAAGTTTTTTGTGTGAGTCCATTTTATGCCTGTTTCCTCATTGCCCGCTGTTTGTCGCATTATCCAATCTACTGCAATCAGGAAAATCATTGGCGATAGTAGGCAGCCAGCCAACCTTGTCTTACTCCTGTCCTCACTTCGAAGGATTCCGTAAGTTTCCCGTTGTGGATTACTTGGCATGCAGCATTGTCGTACAACTGTTGGATGAGATGTATGATTGTCGGAACCTTCTTATGCTTTCGTTGATTTGTCATTGAGAGTACACGACTCAGCAGCTCAGCAGTTCTTTCATCAAATATGTTGTTTTAGTATTCCATTGTTGAACTGGTTATCATCTAGATGTATTCACATTTAAAAAAACACATTGTATTTCCTTAAGTAGTAGAACATTGTAGGCAATGTCGATGAATTGGATGAAAGTCGTCACAAAGTGAGTACGTGCATAGATGTTTCCTTATTTTTTTTGTTTTTTTTGTTTTTCAAAACATTTTTCACATACATTATCTACTATATTACCAATTTTCTTTTTTTGTTTGTCTTTTATTTTTCTCAAAAACTTTTATGTATATACATAAAGAGCTGAAATATTAGCTGATCAGTATAGAAAAAAGGCCACATTATACAATAACAATGGACTGGTATTAATTCCACTGGGTGATGATTTTCGTTATATATCAAAGCATGAATGGAATTTACAATTAGAAAATTATAATAAATTAATTGAGCATATTAACTCTAATTCAAATTATAGAATGAAGGTGAGTCATTTTTTTTGCTTGTGCGTTTATTTAATGTGAGATAGTTTGCCTGTGTGTCTAGCTGGCTGTCCATCTATTTGTTTGAAGGTGGAACTTAGTTTGTAGACTGGCCGTTTTAATTATTTGTTCTCCAGCTTCCCAATGGAACATACAGAGCTCTAGCGGAACATCTCTATTATATACTATGTTCCCCGCCGTTTTTTGTTTGGTTGGCTCCACAATTGCCTACAATAATAAGCTTTCGTTTTCGTCTTTGCATATCGCTTCCTCCCCCTTTGCTTTTTCTACTCAAGTGTCTGATATGTTGCGTCACTCGGTGATCTTCCTAGTTTATGTCCGTCCAATCCGCATATTTTTTGAGCAATGGATTGTTGACTAGTTCACTGCCGTCTACCAGTCGGTCGGTCGGTCGGTTTTCGACATAGAACTTTGCACATATGTGCGCCAGTTCAAGTCGTCACACTCCCTCCTTGTAGCACACAAAGCCAGAAAAGAAGAAAGTAGGAGAAATGCATATTAGAGACAGTAAACAGAGATGTGAGACAAAGGTATAGCAATAACGAAGAACAAAACAGTTTCATTGGAAATCAGAAGTCAGTCACAAGGAGTGGATGCATCTACGCCAGTCAGCTATTGAGAACGATCAGTTTGAGCCATGTCACCAATTGTTTCCAGCCTTCATTGGTTTTTACTGTACCGAGGACCCCAACCAGTCAGGAAGCCAGTCTACACCTTCCTACGTGGCTGTCTTAGACTAACTGTTGTAGATTTCATTGACTGGTGAAGCCATGTTTTGGTTTGACCACCATGTGCTAGCTCTTTTCCAGACTGACCCTCTATCAATCAGGTAACACTGCCCATTGTCGAGGAAGGCGATGACTAGGGATGCGTACGTAACACATGTCCTAATCATCTCAGTCGATGTAATTTCACAGCCTCGTCCATTGATTTCCAATTCCTCCTTACCAACTAGCACTCGACCGATAGCCTAACCTCAATATTGCTCACCCTATTATACCACTTCACACACACGGGAGATAGAACGCAGACACCTATGATCAAAGAAAGCTAACTGGCGTTGTCATTTCTTCCGCTCTCAATGGCCAGGTCTCACAGCTAGCCATAAAGGAGGACGGAGCGGTCTGTTGAGCAGTACACACGCCCTTTGGTCGATAGTCGGATATCACGTCTACGCTGTCTACCAGAGTTCCTTACCGGCCATCTCATTATCTTTAGTATAGAGAGAAGATGGGCAGCTGCTGATAAAAACAATCTATCTTTTGGTCGATAGCTCTGTGATACTTCTTATATGAGGAATTATGATAGTACTACTACTAAACAAGTTGCCCATGTTGAAGTAGGTATGGAGTCGGATTCTAAACCTATGGCTAGCCAATGAGCCATGACGAGTGATTCAGTCAATGAGTTACATCTCTATTCTGTGCATATATATATATATATATATATGTGTGTGCAGGTGAAGTAGGTAATGGTTTCAAATTACTTACTAGTGTCCTTAGAATAATTGTTTCATCCTAGCTTCTAGGATTCATTAGACGTAGGTTGAATGCTTTTGATAGTATTCAGTAGGACCAAAGTTACTTGGATTAAACCTATTGTCTACATGATTTCATCATGCGCTGTCATCGGTTAAAGAACCAGTGAAAACCAGCACTGGAGTACTGGATAGCTGTTTCATCCGCCTAGTTTGAAACTTTTCATCAGCACGCGTCCACAGCAGGGCTTTGAAACCCTAGGTCTTTCGGTTACGACGCCAGCTCACATATAATTCAGCCACTGGCAGCCGACCTAATGGTTTGTAAACTCCAACTTCCTACAATTCCTAACACTCCAGAAACCGGAACGTCCTGGGTTCGAACCCCATTGGGTGTGCATATTGATGAAGACTCCTAAACTGGGACGAAACAGCTACCCAGTAGCCTCAGGTTTTCTAATGCTTCTCTAACCGATATCAGCGCATGATGAAGTCCTGTAACTAATCGAATCACACAAACTAATACTTGTAAAACATATTGGCTTGTAGCTTCTACTCAGGCCTGTCTGTCTGTGTCTGTTTTTGACATAGAACTTTGCACATGTGTGCACCAGTTCAAGTCGACACACTCCCTCCATGTAGCACACAAAGCAAGAGAAGAAAGTAGGAGAAATGCATATTAGACACAGTAAACGGAGGTGTGAGACAAAGGAATAGTAATAACGAAGAACATCTGCGTTAGCCATTGAGAACGATCACTTTGAGCTATATCACCAATTGTTTCCAGCCTTCATTGGTTTTTGCCGTCCCGAGGACCCTAACCAGGAAGTCTACACCTTCATACGTGGCTGGTTTAGACTAACTGTTGTAGATTTCATTGACTGGTGCCATGTTTTCGTTTGACCGCCTGACTGAGGCCTGACATTATTATTATTATTATTGTTTCCTTTAATTCCTAGAGGAACATAGTGCTTCAACCGTGCATCTCCATTGCGTTCGGTTCTCTGCTACAGTCTTCACCTGGCTCCAAGTCTGCCCACACACACGTTTTCATCTCCTCTTCACATGACCTCCTCCAAGTCACCCACCCTTGCACTGACGACCAACTCGCCCCCGCTTCCCTTTCGGGTTCCAATCGACCGATGGCTTGTCTAGTGATGTCAGTCACTTGATGGTTTCCTTAGAGTATAGCCAATCCATCTACCTCCAGTTCTTCCTGCCTGACATTACTTGGTATCATTTGAAATGCTGAGTCTCAGTTAACATGATACTCGTTGCACAAGAGAGATAGCTTTAATTTTTCAAAAAAATGTTTGCTGTTTGAAACTATGGTTACTCTCTAGGTTTGTGTCTCAGAGGGGACACTATTACTACATTCATGATGTGGTGAGTTTCAAACAGGAGAAACGCGGTATGCATCTTGGGTGTTCGTTTGGTGGCAATAGTCAACAAAATAAAATTATTATTGTGTTTAGTATGGCATTGAATCATCTCAGCTCAATGTGCTCACTAGTCGAGTAGAATTCTTCAAACAGTGACATTTATATCCGTCAGTTGGGTGTACAATATCATTGTTATATCTATTAAATTGAAATGCAATTGGTTCAGAGACACGTATATTTAGCAAACCATCAAATGGCATTGCACACTAAGTCAGTAGTGAATGGAAAACCCGAATGGTGAACAACAAACAGGTTGTGCGTGAAACAACTAACTTGGAGAAGATCCTGTGACGAGGAAATGAAAGGTTTTTGGGGAGTCGTTAAACCAATAGAAATTGATAACAGAGAAGCGATTACCATGGTGATGCGCCACTGAAGTCCTATTTTCCATTCAGAAGTCAGAAGTCACTTTCTTCTGTCGTATACTGTCCTCATCATCTGAGTCCACGATCGCCTATAATCTCTCATATCCTCCATTTCATCCTCACTGACGACTCACTCGTCACCGCTTCCCATTTGGATTCCACTCGACGGAAGGCCTTCATTACGCACGATATCATTCAATGGTTTCTTCAATGTATGCCTGATGCATCCACATCCATTCGCTCCTACTTTTCTTTTTGAGCGTTCGACTCCTGGTTGGTTTGTTCCCACAGTTTCTTGTTACTGATTCTTCCTTGCCGGCCATACCGGCCAAGTTTCTGACACATATAGAAGAGGTGACTGACTTGATATTTGTGTTGAAAATCCGAATCTTGTTGTTTATGCTGGCTGATCCAATGTAGAAGATTTTCAAACTGGTGTCAGATTGATGAGCGCGTGTATCTTGCCTCTCCGATTCTGACTGGCTGGTTTTGACATCTTCATCCGTTCCAACTGTCTGTAGTTGAAACGATGCTTCCTAGATAAGCGAAGGAGTTGTTTTTTTAATTTTATTCCTTTTACGTTCCCAGTGGAACATAAGGCTTCAAGCTGGAGCTTTAAAATTTCGGTGGCAGTGGTGTTTATTTTTTTACGTGATGAAGTTGCTAACCTCATGCCCAATTCCGTCTGGTCCTACTGCTTTCCCGGACTTCAGTAGCTTGTAATAATAATAATAATAATAATAATAATAATAATAATTTGCTTTATTCCAAAACAGTACTTGTGATACAGAATGGAATTCTCAGCATTTTTACTACAGTATTGCATCCAGTTAGTACATTATCAATAAATGGAATTCTACATAGATTGAGGAAACCACAGTTCATTATTACAACAATACATTGGCATGTTCAGTAGCAAAGGTAAAGCTGAAACAGTGTTTGAAGGTGTTAGAAAAGTGGGAGCTGTCTTATTAACTGGCGTAAGCGAGAGAAAGAGACAAAGCAGCACATAACGGAAAAAGAAGAGAGAGAAAAGGAACAGAAAGAAAGGAAATGTTGTACTTATTGATGAAGTGGGTTGGAAAGATGTATATACTCTTGGACAACCTCTTTTTTTCTTTCACACTTGTTTTGGTGGAAATACACCTTTTCCAAACATACTGTATGGGTCTACTGGATTTTACGAAGTAATTCGGATCAGGGTAGAATTAATTAAGAAATTATCCAGTGTTTACTAGACGCATGATACTGCCTACTAACTACTAGTGTTCAATCGAAGTTTTAAATCTACCTTGGTTATCTTGGTGAGGAGTGTTCAAACTGTCTTATGAGTTTATATCTTAGTCCTATATGGTTTATTATTATTATTATTGTTCCCTTGGGTTCCTAGTGGAACATAGGACTTCAACTGCACGTCTCCACTTACTTCTCTCTTCTGCTGTACTTTTCATCTGCGTCCATGTAAATCCATACTGTCTTCGCACGCTCTTCTTCACACGATCTCCTTCATGTCACCCTTGGACGTCCCATTCGCCGCTTCCCTTTTGGGTTCCACTCGAGCTATGGCCTGACTGACGCGCGATGTCACCCACCCAGCGGCCTCCTCAGCGAGTGTCCAATCCATCTCCACTTCTTTCTCCTGCATATTTGGTGGGCGATTGGTTCTTGTTTTGTTTGTTCACATAGTTTCTTGTTGGT